ACAGGCCATTGGAATAGAGGAGGTTTGGTGATAGGGAAGGATGAGTCCCCAGTCCAACTGCTGTAGGATCTATAACCATGCATCTGAGAGACATTTCTGTTAGAACAAGAAGCCAGGGGCAAGTGGATAAGGATAAGGATGTTCTCTCCCTCCCAGATTTCCTGCCAATGTATAGATGAGGAGCAGGCAAGTGCTTCACCACCAAACACCCTGGTATAGAGAACACCCTAGTCCATAAGTTAGGAGGTGGGTTCTGGCATTATCTGTGACCCATTGTAACTAACAAATGTAATTTATCATATAACAGAAAAAATCAAATGTTCAGTGACTTATTTTCCAGCGAAAACCACTGTTAAGTGGGTCAGCTCAAGAGTTTATTCATCCATCTATCAATAAATAAATATATTTACACACACATACTATGTGGAGCAAAAGTAGGTTCACAGTTGTATGTGAAACAGAGTTTATTCTTATATTCTTATTTATTAATTATTCTATTATTTTCCATATAAACAACTCTAAACCCACTTTTGCCCCAACCTGTATATATTTATAAACATGCAATCGTATTATATATAGTGTACTGTAACTTCCTTTTCACTTGGCAATAATCAGTGATATCTTTTCATATTAATATATATAGACCTATCTTATTATTTTTTGTAGATATGTTCTTGGTTACTTACAGAAGTATATCCAAAGGATAAATTCCTGGAAATGGAATTGCTGGATCAAAGAGCATAAACATATTAAGCTTAGACAGTAACCACCATATTATCATTCAAAAACACCGTGTCAATTTATGCTTAATGCCACCAACCAACTTTGGAACTTTTGATGGATGATATAATCCATGTGCTTCATTTTCCCTCTATACAATGAGAATGATTGTGTCTCAGGAATAATTCTAAATGAGGTCATTGCTTTGATAATACCATGGTTCTTTAAGAAGAAATGTATCTGTAAAGCTAATACTCACTTTTATTTAAATTTTTTATCTCATATCTTCTCCTCTATAACCTGCAAAAGAAATTAAAATTTGATTAAAATAAATCTACTGACTTCATACCTTGCTATTACTTTCAACAATTCAATTTTTAAGTCTTACCGGGGTGGGGATATTTTATGACATCAACTTTAATACATATCTTTTCAGTTAAAATTTGCAAAAATTCACACAGCTAAGACATGCCTTCTATTGAAATGACTAAAGGTCTCCTATTATTCTGCTGAAATTAAAACATGAAAGATAATCTCCTTCTTTAAGTTGTCTGCCCCACTTCCGCCCAAGATGGAGGCATAGGTGGACACACTGTGCCTCCTCGCACACCCAAGATAGGGATGACAACAATTTAGAAACAGAATAACAACCAGAACTGACAGAAAATTTATCTGAATGGAAGTCAGACAACCAAGAAGTTGAAGTTGGCCCGATCATCCAGACCAGTAGGAGGGGCAGAGTCAGGCAGCCAGGCGCGGAGTGGAGAGCAGAGAGCATTGGGACCAGTGAGTAAGGCATCCAGGGGCATGTAAGGCATCTGAGGCACACAAGACCACAGTGGGTGGACCCTGAGTGCACAACCAGCAGCTGGCAGACCCAGGCTGAGGGGTGGCAACTGGCAGTCCCAGTGAGGCTGCAATTGTGAAGCAAGGCACTTCACGCAACCCAGGATCCCAGCGCTGGGAAATAGAGCCTTGGGATACTGGTTGAGGACACCTGTGGGAGTTGAGGCGCATGGAGAGACACCCAGCCTCACAGGAGAGGTCTTTGGAGGGTCCCACGGTATGCACTAGCCCACCCACATGGGAATTGGCACTAGTTTGCTTGGGGTAAGCAGCAGAAGGGACTGAGGTCCCAAGGAGAATGAAGCAAGCATCATTGTTCCCTCTCAACCCTGCCCTCACATACAATGTCACAACCCAGCAACTGGGGCACCCAGCCCTGGTGAACATCTAAGTGCCCCTCACCATAACAGGCATGACCAGACCAAAAAGAGACACACACAGAGAGAGAGAGAGAGAGAGAGAGAGAGAGAGAGAGAGAGAGAGAGAGAGAGAGAGAGAGAGAGAGAGAGAGAGAGAGAGAGAGAGAGAGAGAGAGAGAGAGAGAGAGAGAGAGAGATGGCTCAAACAAAAGATCAAACAAAAGCCCCAGAACCCATTCTTTTAAGCGACCAAGAGATAGCCAACCTATCAGATGCACAGTTCAAAACACTGGTGATCAGGATGCTCACAGAATTGGTTGAATTTGATCACAAATTAGATGGACAAATGCAGGCTACAAAAAGTGAAATGAAGAAAAATGCACAGGGAACCAATAGTGATGGAAAGAAAGCTGGGTCTCACATTAATGGAATGGACCAGAAGGAAGAAAGACACAACCACACAGAAAAGAATGAAGAAATAAGAATTCAAAAAAGTGAGGAGCGGTTTCAGAACCTCCAGGACATCTTTAAATGTTCCAACATCTGAATTATAGGGGTACCAGAAGAAGAGGAAGAGCAACAAGTGGAAAAGTTATTTGAACAAATAATAAAGGAGAACTTCCCCATTCTGGCAAAGGAAATAGACTTCCAGGAAGTCCAGGAAGCTCAGAGAGTCCCAAAGAAGTTGGACCCAAGGAGGAACACACCAAGACACATCATAATTACATTAGCCAAAGTAAAAATGAAGGAGAGAATCCTAGAAGCAGCAAGAGATAAGGAGATAGTAACCTACAAAGGTGTTCCCATCAGACTGTCAGATGACTTCTCAAAAGAGGTCTTGCAGGCAAGAGGTGGCTGGAAAGAAGTATTCCAGGTCATGAAAGGCAAGGACCTACATCCAAGATTGCTCTATCCAGCAAAGATTTCATTTAGAATGGAAGGGCAGGTAAAGTGCTTCTCAGATAAGGTCAAGTTAAAGGAGTTCATCATCACCAAGCCCTTATTTTATGAAATGTTAAAGGGACTTATCTAAGAAAAAGAAGACAAAAAAAGCATGTATAGTAAAATGACAGCAAACTCGCAATTACTAACAGCCACACCTAAAACAAAACCAAAAGAAACTAGGCAAACAACTAGAACAGGAACAGAAGCACAGAAATGGAGATCACACGGAGGGTTAGCAACAAGGGAGTGGGAAAAGGAGAGAGGGGGAAAAGGTATGGAGAATAAGTAGCATAGATGGTAGGTAGAAAATAGGGGGAGGGCAAGAATAGTGTGGGAAATGTAGAAGCTGAAGAACTTATGACACATGGACATGAACTAAAAGGGGAGAATGTGGGTGGGAGAGGGTGTGCAGGGTGGAGGGGAGTGAAAGGGGGAAATCAGACAACTGTAACAGCATAATCAATAAAATATATTTAAAAAATTGTCTGCCCCCTAAGTTCAAATTTACATTTATGTAAATGAATTCTTCCAACCTTGTTAGCTTCATTCTTTTATCCGATTGTTCACCATTATTCTTTGCAGGTTGATAGATGCAGAATGCTATTGTAGGATCTAGATAAATCAACAAATTTTTGGAAGGGTAACGGAGCCAGATTGGATTAAATTTTTCATTTACCAACTGTGAATTGTTGGTAAATGTACAGGTTGTAAATAACCTCTTTGTGGTTCAGTTTATATAGCAATAAAATGGAAATACTAATATTAGTAACCACCCCATCGAGTTTTTGTGAGGATTAAATTACCTGGAATAGAGTCTGACTCATAATAATAAGTGACCAATGAATGATAAGTATTATTAGTAATATAGAGGTTTGACATGATTAATATATGTTGTTACTGAGAATATTGGCTTTGGGGTCAGATAGAAGTGAGGTCCTGCTGCTTATCTGTGTGTTAATGGGTGAGTTGCTCAACCTCTCTAGGCCCAGTTTTGTCCTCTGTCATATGGCTATATTGCAGAGGGTTCTTATGAGGATTAAATAAGATTAAACATCATGTATTCCATTGAATAGATCCCTAGCACAAAACAAATGATCAATAACTTGTGGCTCGTTTTAATAACATATTTTAAATTGTTAGTAAAAAACAAAATATTTATTTCAGGTAATTTCCTACAGCAGTGCTTGTAAATGGAAGACTTAGAAGGATGTATCATAAGTGAAAAGCCAGAGAAATTGATTGTGTGGGTTTACTCTTAGTAGAGATGTGTTGTAACCACATCAACAAAATCCCAATGCTATGGATTAGCTGCAAGACTCTAGTAATAGCTGTGCATTCAAAACCTTTTTTGGAAGGCTCTATTCACTAATGCAATTTAATTTTAATTAAAATCAGGATATCTGAGTTTCTGGCTCAAATCTACAATTTACTAAGTAGATGGGCCTTGCTTTCTCCTGGACAAGAGGCCTATTGTTAGGCAGATTCAACCCTTGGAAAACTCTTGATTGTGTCTGGGTCCTGGCTTTGGGTTTTAGAGTTTGATTTCAAGATTGAAGTTAAGAATGATAGATAGGGGAATGTTCTGGGCTTTTGCTGGGGAGAGTAGATGGGGGATAGTTGAGGATCAGAGAATACTTGGAAAGGATTAGGTATTGAGGGGAGAAGAAAAAGGGGTGGACTGGGTATTTGGCAATAGGAGTGTTTTGAAGAGATAGTAGGGATGTTTGAAGGAGATTTTTGTGAAGAGTAGGGATGTTGAAAGTAGATTTTTGTTTGATCATATATTTGAGGAGTAGAAAGTATATATTCTAGACTGAGGGCCTTTCATGTTACCACATTTGGGTCTGTCACATCCAGGAGAGTCACTCCCAGATGTGAAAGACCCAATGAAAGTTGACTTTGAGAGAGAGAGTACTGGGAAATTGCTCCTGCCATGTGGGGTTCCAGCTGTCAGGACAGTTTTGCCTGTACCCTTAGCTGCCAAATCTTCCATGTCCACAGAGATCCATGATCCTCATAAAAGCTCTAATTTATTGAGTGCCTACTACACGCTGGGTACTTTACATATAGTATTTCTAATCTTCACAACAAATTTAATGAGTATGAACTATTATTCCTTCTGTGTTCCAGGGAGGAAACTCGCATGATTCAGTCACTTGCCCTTGGTCTCACAGCTGCTAAGTGACAGAGCTGAGGAAATTTCACACTTTCTGCAACATCTTACTGCCTTGTTCTCACTGCCTTTCAGTCAGCCTGTGAACAGTAGGCTGAGGGAAAGGCTGGGAATTAACATTCTCTAAAAGTGCAACAGAAGTTCGATACAGAAAAAAGGGCTACACCATGAAAAGGAATGAAGCACTGACACCACTTTAACCTGGGGGAACCTTGAAAGCGTGATGGTCATTGCAAGAAGCCAGACACAAAAGACCACATAGTATATGATTCTGTTTCTATGAAATGTCCAGAATAGGCAAATCTAGAGAGATAGAAAGTAGATTAGTGGTTTCCTAGGGCTAGGGGAATTTGGAGGGCAAGGGTTAGTAGCTAAAAGGTATGGTGTTTCTTTTGGGGGTGATGAAAATGTTGTAAAATTTGTTTTAGTGAAGGTTACACCTATTTGTGAATATACTAAAAACCACTAAAATATGTACTTTAAATAGGTGTATTATAATGGTGTGTGAGTTATATCTTGCAAAGTTGGTACAAAAATAATGAAAATGAAGGCACAGATTAACTCATACCCATTAGGATGGATACTATAAAAAAATAAAAAATAAGTATTGGCAAAGATGTGAAGAAATTGGAACCCTTATGCATTGTTGTTGGTGGGGATGTAATATGGTGCAAAGTGGTTCCCTAAAAATTAAAAATGGAATCATCATTAGAGTGCATACACAAAAGAAAGCAAGTCTCAATGAGATATTTGTACATATATGTTTACTAGTAGTATTATTTATGATAGCCAAAAGGTGGAAATAACCCAAATGTTTATCAACAGATGAATAGATAAGCAAAATGTGCCCTTTCCATACAATGACATATTATTCATCCTTAATAAGGAAATTCTGGCACACATGACAATGTGAGTGAATGTTGAGGACATTATGCTAAATAAAATAAGCCAGTCACAACAAGACAAAGAATATATGATTCCACTAATATGAGGTACTTGAAGTAGTCAAATTCATAGAGACAGAGAGTAGAATAATGTTTGCCAGGGGCTGGGATGAAAAGAGAATGGGAAGTTATTGTTTAACAGGGATGTAGTTTCAGTTTTGCAAGATGACAAGAGTTCTGGAGATGGATGATGATGATGGTTGCACAACAGTGTGATTGTACTTACTAAGACTGAACTGTACACTTTAAAATGGTTAAGATCTTAAATTTTATGTTGTATGTGTTTAAATACAATTTTAAAAATGGGAGGGAAAAAATGAAGGCACAGATCCCAAATGACCTTTATGGCTTGCTTCCTTAACTTCGTCAGGCTCCAATGAATATCACCTTCTCCCTGACCAGCTGACTCTCCCATCCCTATGCCCTGCTGGTCCCACCTATTATGTTATCCACAGGATAATTCAAAACTGGATGCTTCCAAAGTTTTATTATAACATGCCATGTCTGGTGGACATAGATTAAGAACTTGTGTCAGTGGCACCTGTTCTTTGCAGCCTTGGAGAAAAAAAGGATCTGGGATGAAGCTGACTCCAGGATGGCCTGGTGCCATGTTTCCTGTGTATGCTAACTGGGTCTGCATGTAGAGTATCAGTTACATTGTAATCACTGTGTTAGTTACTTTACAAATTGTCTTTAATTGTGTAATACATGTGATTACAATTATATATGTGATTTATTTTGTTTAATACCATATTGTGCTATATGTAATGCACTCCCATGTACAATGTGCACCCATGTTTTTGGCCTAAGCTTTCAGGAAAAAAATTTCTTTTTCACTTAATTCAATTGTTTGTTTATTTATTTATTTATATTTAGATACTTGGTTTTTGTATTATAAAGGGTATTATTTTGCATACAGATACCGTTATTGCTTCTACAGTTACACTTTTAACACATAAGTACAAATAAAAGAATTAAAGACATTTTTATGGATACATAATTAGTTTACTCATGAATAATGCACACAGATATCATTATTTTTCCCTCAAAAATTTAGGCAAAAAAGTACGTACTGTACATGGCAAAATACTGTAAGTTCTATGACAGTAGGGACTTTTTCCCTTCTTGTTTTTGCTCACTGTTCCATCCTCAGCACCTATGATAGTGCCCAGCTTGCATATGATAGTGTTTTAGGACAGGAGTGCTCAACCCCAGGCCATAGACATGTCTGTGTCCTGTTAGGAACCAGGCTACACAGCAGAAGGCAAGTGAGTTGCAGGCAAGCAAGTGAAGCTTCATCTGTATTTACAATCACTATCCATTGTTCGCATTACCACCTGAGCTCCATCTCCTGTGACATCAGCAGTGGCATTAGATTCTCATAGAAGCCCAAACCCTACTGTGAACTGTGCATGTGAGGGATCTAGATTTCATGCTCCTTATGAGAGTATAATGCCTGGTGATCTGAGGTGAAGCTGAGGTTGTGGTGCTAGCACGGGGGAGTGGCTGCAAATATAGATTATCATTAGCAGAGAGGACTGAGTGCAGAGAGACCATAAAAATCAATTGCTTGCAGACTCATTAAAACTGTATCAGTGAGTGACAAGTGACAATTAAGTTGTATCTGGTGGCAGACATGATAGTGACAAATGAGTTGCTGTACTTCAATTGTACAGCTGCCTCTGGTGGCAAACTTTAAGTCAGAATCTATACTTATTTTAGTTCTGTGCAATGGCCCAACCATCATTTTATTTACCACTTCCATCCATGTCTCTTTCCCACATGGCACACTTGTCTCAGTCACAGTTTTGGTAAGCCCACATGCTAACCCTAGCCAAAATGAGTAAAAAACAAACAGCACTGGAGAGCTTCTTTGAAAAGGGGAAAGACTTAATGATGAGACAGCAAAAGACTCTAAGACAGCCAACAAAAAGAAAGCTGCATTTAAAAGAAAATACCAAAAAAAAAATAGGAGTTCTGGCCAAGATAGTGGCATAGGTAGAAACCCTTTGCTTCCTTGCACAACTAAAAGGAGGATAACAACCAATCTAAAGACAATAAACAACCACAAGTGCCAGAAAATCAAACTTCATGGAACTCCAACAACCAAGGAGTCAATCAGACTGGTGCACCAAGACAAAGAAATATAGCCCAAATGAAAGAACAGAGCAAAACTCCAGAGAAAGAGCTAAGCGATGAGGAGACAGCCAACCTATCTGATGTGGAATTCAAAACATTCGTAATCAAGATACTCACAGAGCTGACTGAGCTTCGTCAAAAAATGGAAGAACAAATGAGGACTACGCAAAGTGAAATAAAGCAAAATATTCAGGGAACCAACAGTGACAGGAAGAAAACCAGGACTCAAATCAATGATTTGGCACAAAAGGAAGAAATAAACATCTAAAGAGGCTGGAACAGAATGGAAAAATAAGAATAAAAAAAAATGAAGAGAGGCTTAGGAACTTACGGGACAACTTTAAACGTTCCAACCTCCAAATTATAGGGGTGCCAGAAGGAGAAGAACAAGAGCAAGAAATTGAAAACTTAAACATAATGAAGGAGAACTTCACCAGTCTGGCAAAGGAAATAGAATTTCAGGAAGTCCAGGAAGCCCAGAGAGTCCCAAAGAAGTTGGACCCAAAAAGGAACATACCAAGGCACATCATCATTAAGTTACCCAAGATTAAAGATAAAGAGAGAATCTTAGAAGCAGCATGAGGAAAGGGGAGAGTTACTTACAAAGGAGTTCCCATAAGACTTAGCTGATTTCTCAAAAGAAACCTTGCAGGCAGGAAGAGGCCTGGAAAGAAGTATTTGAAATCATGAAAGGCAAGGAACCTATATCCAAGATTAATCTATCCAGCAAAGCTTTCATTTAGAATGGAAGGGCAGATAAAGTGCTTCCCAGATAAGGTCAAGTTAAAGGAGTTCAACATCACCAAGCCCTTTTTATATGAAATGTTAAAGGAACTTATCTAAGAAATTGAAGAAGATAAAAAAACAATGAATAGTAACATGACAACAAACTCACAACTATCAACAAGTGAACCTAAAATAAAAACAAAACAAATACTAAGAGAATAACTAGAACAGGAACAAAATCAGAGAAATGGACATCAAATGGAGGGTTTTCAGTGTGGGTGGGGGAGAAAGAGGGGGAAGGTACAGGGAATAAGAAGCATAATTAGTAGGCATAAAATAGACAGGGAGAGGTTAAGAATGGTATAGGAAAGAGGACTCAAAGAACTTATATGTACAACCCATGGACATGAACTAAGGAGGGGAATGGTGGAGGGTTGGGGGTGCAGGGCAGGGGGTCTAAAGGGGGAAATTGGGAAAACTGTAATAGCATAATCAATAAAATATACTTGAAAATACCAACTTCCAGCCAAGATGGAGGTTTAGGTAGACTTGTATCTCCTCCTCACACAACCATAAGAAGGATAACAACCAACCTAGAAACATAAAACAACCATAACTGCCAGGAAATCAAACTGTATGGAAGTCTGACAACTAATAATTTAAAGAAGAAACACTTATCCAGATGGGTAGGAGAGGCGGAGAGGACGCAGTGTGACATGGTAAGGTAGTGGCAGGCAGTGGTGGCAAAGCAGCTGTGGCAGCAGCTCATGGAAGAGCAGTCCCACATTAGTGTGCAGCAGATATAAACCAGGAGGGACAACTGGGGAGTGAGTGATCCCAGCCCCAGGCCAGACCATGCAGCCCAGGGTTCCAGTGATGGGAGAACAAACCTCATAACCTCTGGCTATAAACCAGTGGTGGTGAGTGTGGCAGAAGAAACTGCTGCTGTCTCTGGAGAATATATTTAAAAGGCCCACAGAGTCCTAGAATGTCTGCAAAACTACCCAGTCTGGAAAATAGCACAAAGGCAGCAACTAAAAGGGCACCAGATGCTTACGGGAAGTGACGGGAAACAGAGCAAGAGCTGAGCAAGTGGCATTGTTCCCACTCTGACACCACTCCCATATATAGCACTGAAGTGAACTGGCCCACCCTAGTGAATATTTCTAAGGTGTAATAAGTACTCTGAGCATGGAGATTAAAGCAGCTCTACCTAATATATGGAAACATGGGGAGGCTGACAAAATGAAGAAACGGGAGATAAGGCCCAAAAGAAGGAACAGATCAAAACTCCAGAAAAAGAACTAAGCAACATGGAGACAGCCAACCTATCAGATGCAGAGTTCAAGGCACTGGTGATCAGGTTGCTCAGAGAAATCATTGAATGAAGCCACAACATAAAGGAAGAAGTGAAAGCTACACACAGTGAAATAAAGCAAAATATACAGGGAAGAGAAGGAAGCTGGGATTCAAATCAACAATTTGGGAAAAAGGAAGAAATAAACAGTCAACTGGAACAGAAAGAAGAAACAGGAATTCAAAAAAATTAAGAGGCTTATGAACCTTGGGGCAACTTTAAGTGTACCAACATCCAAATCATAGGGTTGCTAGAAGAAGAAGAGAAACAATAAGAAATTGAAAATGTATTTGAAATAATAATGAAAGAAAACTTCAAAATTTGGTGAAGGAAATAGACATACAAGTCCAGAAAACTCACAGAGTCCCAAAAAATTTGGACCTGAAGAGGGCCACACCAAGATACATCATAATTAAAATGCCAAAGATTAAAAATAAAGAAGAATTTTTAAATAATTTTTATTATTGTTCAACTACAGTTGTCTCCATTTTTTCCCCACCAAGCCCACCCCCGTCCCCCACCCATCCCCACCTCCCACCCTTGAACCTACTCCCTTTGGCTTTATCTGTGTGTCCTTTTTACATATTTCTTGATGGCCCTTCCCCTACTTTCCCCCATTATCCCTCTCCCTCCTCCCCTCTGGTTACCTTCAGTTTGTTCTTTATTTCAATGTCTCTTGTTATATTTTGCTCACTTGTTTGTTTTGCTGATTAGGTTCCACTTATAGGTGAGGTCATATGGTATTTGTTTTTCATAGCAGCACAGTTTACAATAGCCAAGTGCTGGAAACAACCTAAATGTCCATCAGTAAATGAGTGGATAAAAAATATATGGTACATTTACAGAATGGAATACTACACAGCAAAAAGAAAGAAGGAGCTCCTACCCTTCATGGCAGCATGGATGGAACTGGAGA